ATCTCCCCTAACATTCCCTCAGCTCCCCACTGGGAGCTGCCTCCTGTGTCCCCCCAGCCCCACACACCATCCTCCCCCTCATCCTTCCTCTGCATTCCCTGCCCCTCCCCCAGCCAGCCCCCGAGCCCAGCACTCACAGCTGGCCCCAGACCACTCAGCAGTGGCCTTGGTCAGGGTGGGGGTGCAGTGACACCCTGCCATGTCCCCCTGACTCAGCATCATTCCTGTCTACGGCACCGGGTTAGGGCAGGGCTCCTGGGGGTCAGTGCTCAGAATCAGGCTTTGGGCCGTAGGGCTGCCGGCTGTCTGATTCTCACCAGAACAGCTGATGGAAAAGGGACCCTGGTGGCTCTGGTTGTCCGCAGCTGAGATAAGCCGGCTCTGTCTGGCTCCCTGCGGCTGGGGGGGGGGCACCCCAGGTTTAGGGGGATGGGGGCAGGACTGAGCTATCACTGGGCTGGGAGAGCAGGGGTTTATTCCAGCCCAGCCCCTGATATCCCCCGTTAGCAGTCCCTCCTGGCCTTGGGCTGCTGTCCAGGTAAACAGGGTGTGCTGAGGAGGGGGCGCAGGTCAGGAGAAGAAAGGGGAAGGCACCAAGGGACAGGGTGGAGGAGAGAGGGTTTAGGGGGATGGGGGCAGGACTGAGCTATCACTGGGCTGGGAGAGCAGGGGTTTATTCCAGCCCAGCCCCTGATATCCCCCGTTAGCAGTCCCTCCTGGCCTTGGGCTGCTGTCCAGGTAAACAGGGTGTGCTGAGGAGGGGGCGCAGGTCAGGAGAAGAAAGGGGAAGGCACCAAGGGACAGGGTGGAGGAGAGAGACAAATGCCAGGGGGGCAAGTGGAGACAATGAGGAAAAGGGCAGAGGGGAGGTGTCAGTTAGGATGATGCTGGGAAAAGGTAAGGGCATTGGTGCTAGAGGGAGGAGGGGGAGGTGCTGGGAGAAGGCTAGAAAAAAGGGGTGGGAATGAGGAAGGCGGGAATGGAGCAAGGCATATGTGAGGGTACAGGGGCATGAGGGGAATGGGGACAGAGGTGGTGAGGGGATGGGCATCAGGGAAAAAGGGGGCAGGGGCAGTGAGGGAAGGGGGAGGCACCAGGAGGGTGCAGGGCTAAGGGAAGGTGCAGGTGCCAGGGGATCCTGGGGGTGAAGCAGAAGTTTGTATTTTTAAGTAAAGTTTAGTTGTTAACTAAACTTATTTTTTTAAATTAAGTTTGTTTCTTTAGTTTGTTTAATGAATAACAATAATGTCCTTTATGACTGAGTATCCAATAAATGTTCGCTTTAAAAAAAATAAAACTAAAATTCCCTGGGAGCACACCCTAACGAAATGTGCTGCGCACGCCTGTGGTGAGCAGACAGATCACTGGTGCGCCCACGGGGAGGAGGGGAGGGTGTTTGCCCCGGATGCTGTACAAAGGGGGCCATGTGAAGCGTCAAACGAAAGCTTATGATCGACTGATTCTATGTATGATACTCGTGTGTTTCTATGATGTTTGTATGTGGAGTTAGGAACACGGGCTCTGTTCTTGTGTTGTTAATGGTCTCTGCCTGGCAGAGAGCAATTGGCCTGCACTGCCTGTTATGAGGAAGGGTTGTTCAGTGAATGGCTGAGCAGCGCAAAAGTCAGCCAAGTGCCACGGTGTGAGGCACCAGCGCCCCCTAGAGGCAACACGTAATGCTACAGCGTTACAGAGTCACAGACACTGGGCTACTATATATATGACTAGCCAATTGGCCCATCATAAGACGGGATTTTCACGTCTCCCACATCGGTCTTCTCTCCTAAGCCTCTGGTCTCTCGCTCTGTCTGTGTCTCTCTCTCTTTTTCTTCTCCTCCTACTGCCTCTCCCCCACCCAGCTCTCCTCCTCCGACTGCCTCTCATAAGACGGGATTTTCACGTCTCCCACATCGGTCTTCTCTCCTAAGCCTCTGGTCTCTCGCTCTGTCTGTGTCTCTCTCTCTTTTTCTTCTCCTCCTACTGCCTCTCCCCCACCCAGCTCTCCTCCTCCGACTGCCTCTCCCCCCACCAGCTCTCCTCCT